TCTGGGAGTTGAAGTCCACTCATCTTAAAGTGGCCAAGTTTGGACAACACTGCCTTAGTAATTTGATAATAGTTTTCATGTCCATCCCAGTCATAGAGAGTGAGGACTGTTCATGGAGTATGTTACACTTAAGACATCACCAAGTGATTGTGTAATGGTTGCTTCCAAAACTGATAAATTCAGGAGAATTATCTTGGCAACACGTAGAGAGCTTTTGACCAATCTTTTCAAAGAGCTACTGACCTTTCTGCAGCTGCTGGCTTCAGTAATATGGGCAGTACTAAGGATTACATTGTGGGGAGGCAAATTCTGAGCCTGAGGACTAGCCAAGGTGGATTACCCAGGTCTACCCAGCACAGTTCATGAGGTGACCCAGCAGGCTATGCCAGATTACTCTTAATCTTGGTTAGGATTGGCTTAATTTTAGGAAGGTTCTCTGAACCCACTTTCCTTGGTTAATTTATGTCTCAATGTGTGGTGTGAACCAGAAAATAGCTTAATTCAATAAGTAATAATGTGGTGTGGATGTAAGCACTCTTGCATGGTCCAGGTCTAGCAGACAGGGCTCAACTGCTGATGGATTAAAGGGAGAGACCATGACAGCTAGAATGTTTGAGCTAGACCTTGCATGTAGAAAGGGTATAGGTGTGTAGTCTGCAGTTGATTTTTAGACCAGAAGAAAGGATCACCCAATGTTTGCCAACACTCAGTGGATTTTGCCCAAGTAGGCTGAACTGAAATGTTATAGCAACATAGGGATATATGGTGATAATGAGGGTGGAAATAAATCCTCATATTTACAGGGGTGAAGGACAAATATTTCTAATCTAATCTAATCTATCCTCTCCCATGACTTAGCTTGATTTAAGTTGAATATATACTTCCGTGTATGAAGTAGTCACTTATCACTGCCTGTATAACCGAGCATGCTAGATGAGCAAACATTCCTTAAGCCCAAAATGAAAACAAAGCATGCAAAGTTCTTTCCTCTTGGCAGGATGCACGAAAATTGTGCAACATATTTGATTTCCCACAAATGCAAATTACTGTTTGAGTCATTTGCCCTCCCAATTCCAGTAAATGGTGTGATAGCAGCCAAATTCAGACAAAATAGTTCCAAAGTTCAATGGTAGCATGTCCTCACTAAAATAGAACACTCTACTCTGTGAACATAGAGGCTAAAATACATAATACAATTGTTTTATTTTTGCTGTAATAGATTAGCAATAGATTAATTTTTTCCACAGAAACTGCATAAAAATTAGTTACTGGCATACTGTCTTTCTTCACCTGCATCTTCTCATAATACAAACATACCCCAGCAACACCCCTTCTCTGTCATGTCCCCATGCCATTTACCTTTAACTCATTCCCCAACCCATGATTGAGACAGGTTTAAGTCATTCTCATGCCTGTGTTAAAACAGTGCTTTCCCCCTTATTCCAACACCATCCAAGATCAGAATTGGCAGTGAGGGTAGCCAGCTTTATGCTGATATAGTTTTCTGCTGACTGAAGGATGGGTGGAAAGCAATTAAACTCAGCAATAAGAACTTGTAGTTAACCATGTAGCTTTGCTTTATGATCACCCACTCTGTAGAGTAGTATTATTTCTTGATGGCCTTCTCTGGATCTTTGCAGTTCCCTTCCCTGACCATTACCATGTCACATGAATTCTTGATTTTTTTGCCTGGAGGGAGGGGAAGTCCTTAATTAAATCCAGATGTTTTATTTCCACCATTCCATCATTGGGAATTTCCATGTTCTAGTCTTCTCATTTCCTACTTTAATTTCATGCTGCTTTTGCATCAGTTGTCTAGTTCTTTTAAAAAAAATCCCCCCCAAAATATGGAAGTCTGTTCCTGTGGATCTCCCCCAGTGCAAAATTCTGAACAATCCAAATATTGAAGGACAATTATTTAATCACAACTTACTTCATCCTCAGACTAACTCCCTAAGTCCATCTAATGGTGTTCTGAAATCTGCCTTAGAGTTCCTCAGATTTTTTTCTTCACATATAAAAGAGCTGTTGGTTGATTTCTGTTTCCCACCTCCACTGCTTTGGACCCTTCCTGGCTGCCTAAATATTTAGATCTGAAAGAGGTTGGAAGGATTTGATGTCTTCTCCTGAGATTTAATGGAAACATACAGTAGATGCCCAAGGCAGATACCGACCATGAATGAACATTGAAATACAGGATATTTACATACAACCTGTAGTCATTTCACTGTTGATAAGAGTGCCATATATTTCAGCCATGGGCAATTTCACAGAAAGCCACTTCTCTTTAAAAAAAAGAAATGAAAACCCAATTCTCTTCATCAGATGGAATGAGGATAATTGAAATAAGTACAGAAGACATTTTTAGCATGGCACTAGGCCATATCATGGTCATATGAAACTTCTGTGAGAAGATTGACTGCAGGCTCTGAGCGTATCAGGTGCTTAAATACCTGCCCAGCTGTAGGGGTATTTGAGAAGACTTGTACCATGCTCCTTGGTTAATATATTTTGTTAAGAGCAGCTGTTTTCATAACAGGACAAATGCTAATTCATTCATTCAGAAATACTAATGGCAGAAATGCAATTACTGTATATTTTCTGTTGGTCAGATGATCACACCAATCATTCTGATGGATATTTAAATATCTATAGGGCTCTGATAGAGTCAAAAAAGTCTTTAGAAGCTGAACATGGCCCATAGACTGCTAATTATGTGTGCCTACAATATACTGAAACTGCAGTTGATGTTAATTGTCTCTTTGGTTCCTCAAAACAATATTATAAACATGAAGTAAGTGAATTTATTTCAGTCATAGACCAGTTTATCAAACTAATGTTTGCATTGCATAGTCCAATCAAAATTGTTCTGTTTTCCATTAGCCTGAAAAAGGAGAAAAAAGAAAAAGACAAAACAGATACTGTTCCAAACGTTTTGGAGTAGTGCATGGATAAACATTTAGCAGCGGGCTAGCCAAAAAGCTGTTAAAGAAGAGGAGCATGTAAGTGAGAAACAATGGTGATCTTAATTCATAATCACAAACTTATTCAGTACCCAGATTTTTAAGAGTTGAACATATAGCTTCATTTGGAGTATCAATTGGGATGCCTCCCATATTAGTACATTTGCAATTTGTAATTCCTCTGGTTCTCTTTATGGGGACACTGACACATGATGAAAACATTTTATTAAACAAGGAAATAAAGTAGTCCTACCTCTGTCAGAGTAGTGAACCTAAGCCTCTCTCTCGTTGTAATACTGAATCACTGTCTTCCCTCCCTCATATACAATTCTCTTGTTCATGCTCACAGGCTTACCTGTGCGGAGTAAATCAGGGCAGCAATTCCCAGAGGTAGGCAACAGCAAAGCATGGTGAAGATAGAGTAGGCCATGTAATCAGGCTCCTTGGTGGGCTGGACACGTATGAAGTTCATGGCCTGGGTTGACTGAATGACCAGACCTTGGTTGTATCTTCCAGGAGCTGGATCATGAGGAGGTTGATACTTGGGGGGCACCAGGGAATCACTACCAGAAGATGCTGGTTGATTTTCCATATAGGGGGGTGGATCCTGGGCTTCAGGTACATTTTCTTCCAACTTCTTGTATTGTGGTTTGCTCATCTTGTCCACCTGCTCTCCTTTTACTGCCCTTCTTCAAGCACAACACGGTCTTATTTCTATGTTTGTTCACAGTCCTTTTGAATAGTTTTGGTTAGCTGTCAGACTCACTGGATGTCTCCCCTTGGTTGCACTTTCAAGCCTACCCAATTGTTTGTTCTCCTCCTCCAGTCATGTGCAGCCCAGCTAATTTGCTTCTCTGTTCCTTTGAGCAGGCTGTTCTCTGTTTTTGCTTCAAGAGCTCTCAGGGACTACTTTTCTGACTCAGTACAGTTTGACAGGTCCAGCAGACTAGAAAAGAAGTGGGCTGAATGAGAAGTTAGTCAATGAATAACCACAGGAGTAAGACTTCTGCTGGTGGGAAAATGCAGCTAAGATTTCACTTAACTATTTGTAACACCCAGACAAAACCTGAAAAATAAGAACAGGCTTCTACTAATCACACCCTAGGCGCAAAGCCAGCTAGATTACTTTGGGCCAGTCACTCTGTCTCAGCCCTAGGAAGAAGGAAGTAGCAAGCCCCTTCCGAATATGTTGCCAAAAAACCTGCAGGAACTTGTTTAGGCTATCTCTGGGAATCAAAGAATGGAAGGCACAAATTTCCTATTTTTATAAAACCATGTACTCCCCAGAGTGTTTTTGCAAACAGTCAATGTGCTATAGTGACGAAAGTGTTGGACTAGGACCTCAGAGACCCATGTTCAAGTCCCCTCTCAGCCATGGAAGCCTGCTGGGTGATTTTGGGCCAGTCCTTCTCTCTCAGCCCAATCTACCTCACAAGGTTACTGCTGTAGGGATAAAATGAAAGATATTGAATAAATAAATAAAAATAACCTATTAGCAGCCCTGTTCCTGGGCAGAAAGAAGAGCAATTCAGTTATATGGAGTCTGAAATATAGATAGTGAGAATGGGTGAAGGCTTTCTCTGTACTTTCTCTGTACTCTCTACTTTCTCCATACAAGGGATCTGGAGGCTAAATCCTATGAAGAATGGCTAAAGGAACTAGGCATGTTTAGCTTAATGAAGAGAAGACTGAGGGGAGAGACATGATAGCCATCTTCCAATATTTAAAGGTCTGCCACAGGGAAGAGGGCATCAATTTATTCTCCATAGCACCTGAGGATAGGACAAGAAGAAATAGGTGGAAGCTCGTCAGAAGGAGATGCAACCTGGAAATAAGGAGGAATTTCCTGACAGTGAGAACTATTAAGCAGTGGAACAGCTTGCCTCCCAGAGTTATGAGTGCTCCATCTCTGGAGGTTTTCAGGAAAAGTTTGGACAACCATTTGTCTGAGATGGTATGAGGACTCCTGCCTTGGGCACGGGGTTGGACTAGAAGACCTCCAGGGTCCCTTCCAACTCTATGATTCTATAATTCTACTTCTCAAATAGTGCCTGCAAATGTGATTTGGAACACTGGAGAGCTGATGTGATGTAGTGGGCTAGGTAGACCAGGATCTGGGCGACCTAGATTCAGGTCCACCAACAGCCACAGAAGTTCCCTGGGTGACATGCACCAGTTGTTCTCTCTCAACCTAACCTACCTCCAAGCACTATCGTGGAGAAAAATGGGACAATGGAACACTGCATGTGTTTTGAGCTCCTATAAGAAAGAGGGGATATAAAACAAAAAAAGATAAAGTCACACCATAATAAAATAGAACTGAAATATGATTTCTATGTGGATTGCATAAGCTCCTTGTCCTTCACAGGTTGAGAAATGTCAAGAGGGCCAGGCAGGAAATGACATCCTCTTCCTTGCACAGGCCAACTGTCATAATACCCAAGGCCAATCATGTTATAGGCAAAGAAAAAACAAAGAAATCTATGAGTGTCTCTTGTCATCCCTGGAATAATGACACGTGAGTAAATAAATAAATAAATAAATAAATAAATAAATACCTTTACTTTTAGGGCACCCCAGATCAGATACTGCAGATGTCTGGGCTCATGCTGCCTAATGGTAGAGGTGACCTTGCTTGAAGGACAGATGTGGAGAAATCCAACATTGTTCCCCAATTTCAGCTGTGGAAAAAACAGGGTGCCATGTGATAAGATGCCCTTTTTTGTGACTCTTTAGTGTGGCCACTGAGCTGTATACAAACTAGAGATGAAATGTATTCTACCACTGGTTCAGAAGCTAAACATTTAGCTGAAGGGGACGAAGACTGAATTGTGATGAATTAATAGTCCATTAACTATCATTGTAGTGTAGATGATCATAGTGATCATCATCACTAGTCATTGATGAATTAATACATCCATTAACAAGCCAGCTGTATTTATCTGTGTTTACAAAACATATCATGTTTGTTTTACAATGCATTTCCATAATTCAAAAGATACCCATAGACACAATGAAATACAGACACAAAAAGCTATATACAAATATAATGATAAAATATGCATGAGAACAAGAAAATATGGGAATAGAAGAATAAAATACATAGATGTATGGAATGATGGCATTTGAAGAAGGAATTCTTTCCTGCAAAGGCTAAGATAGGACCCAAATAAAGAAGAATACCTTACTCTGGAGAAGGACCACAGCATTTAGACTGAACCTGTTCCATAGGAATTGTCAGAATCTAGGACATAACTGCCGTCAACTGAAAAGGAGATTTGTGTCTATTTTTATTTCTTTTACCTTATTCTACCTTTGGAACTTTTTAGTGGTAAGTGATGATCTTTTACTTTTTCCAATGATCACTTGGTTGTATTCTGTTT